GTATAAAGTTTTTTTTCTGATTATTAATTGTACCAACTCTGCTAATATTACTCCACATTTGTTCACATTAGGGCCTTTACCACCCACCTGCTCCTCCAGCTCAGTCTCAGAAGCCCCAAGTCTTCCATGTAAGTACTGTAATTATTAGAAAATTATAAAGCTTTGTACTCTCTACCTCCCAGCAATGCTGAAGAGGTGGGGTGTTCATGTAGCAATGCCGGGTCATAGTTCCTCTTTAAGGTCCAGTGACAGTATGCCATCAAAATAATCTGCTTTTTAAAACAGAATGAACTAATCAATTAGGCTACAGGGCGCTACCACAGCTAAATTAACAGGACACTCCATTGTGACATCAAATAATTAGGCAATCTCTGTTTCTAGGTCCTCCATGAATCCTTAGTCCAGGTCGGTTTTAATAATAATCTTTTGTCACATTATGAACTGAGGATTAATTTATTTGCTATAACATATTTGGGGACCAGATTGGAATGAGAGCCAAGATAAATTCAATAGATAGAAATGCAATTTTAATGATATTATCATTGTGGTATTCATGTTTGTTGTTGTTTTTTAAAATAGTATTTTGTGTTTTAGAACATAACAAGTTTGTGAATATTTAATCAAAGTTTTTCTAAGACTGAAGTCTTGAATCATTTGGAAATCTTATTAAATCGAGGCCAGCGTCCCTTAAATTTGAACAATGTGAGCCTGATTCTTTTTCAGTTTCTCCACTCGAGTTATAATCAACCAAATTTAGAGTTATATACATTTAAAAAATATATGCTGTGGATGTTTTAAAGAGACAATCTAAGCACTAGAACCACTACATCTTAAAATAGTGATTTTGGTGCAGAGATTATGTCCTTCTCAGGCCATCCATAGTGCCACTTATTCCTTAAGTCTTCACAATAGGCGTCATTACACACAGCATGTTAAGAGAACAGAGAACATTGATTATTTGAGCAGTAGGTTTGCAAGCATTGTATTACATCAGAGAAAAGGGGGGCCAAAGGAAAACATCCCCAACACATGTTTTTCTGTAAAAAACAGCAACAGCAGTGTGTCACATATTCTGTCACTTATATCAACATATGATTGCCATTGCATTGATAACCATCTGGTGGAACACATAACTCCACATAGCACAGACAGTCTCCTGTTCATTGTTTTTTGAGTGAATTAATTGCCATTTGGGAGGAATTAAATGGCTTACAATGGACAATCTCTATTCTCTTCATTCAAAATAGGGCCCTATTGGGCTGAATTTCTGAATTCTATTGTTGCATAATTCCTATTATTGTGTCCATCATGGGACTAATAGATATTCACAGGCTCCCTCCATTGAAAGAGGAGACACCAGCATTTTTGGAAAGATATTCATGGTTTCCCAATGTGAGATATGGGATACAAAGGGCTGATTTTAAGTTCCCAAATGTAATTCCCGGTTGTCATCTGACCTCTTATGCTACGTAGTACTGGGTCTCCCTCACTGAGTGGGAAAGCATATTAGGAGCGCTCTAGTATTAGAAACACCAGTTGGACTTCCTGAATGCATGTAATATCACTGTGTATGATACTATGACATACTATGCACAGACATTTACACAGCCTTGCACATACTGGAAATTTCCTCAGCTTTTTAAGGATTAATGAATGTCTTCTCTGTTTTTTTTTTTTTAGGGGTACCAAAAGCCTGCCAATAATCCCCCATACCCACCAGCTAACAAGCCAGTGTTTCCTACTCCTCCACCACAGGTATGTTGCTAATTCACTAATTCACACAATGACATACAGTTTTTAACACATGCTAACTCACACAATGACATACACTTCTTAACACAAGCCAGCTCACACAATGACATACACTCTTGTACACATACTAATTCACACAACAACATACACTCTTATATGCATACTAACAAACAGTGACATACACTGCTGTACACATACTAACTCACACAGTGACATACACTCCTGTACATATGCTAACTCACACAATGAGATAAATTCTTATATGCGTACTAACACACAGTAACATACACTTCTGTACACATACTAACTCACACAGTGACATACACTCCTGAACGGAGACCAACCAACTCACACAGTGACATACACTCCTGTGCACATACTAACATACTCGATGACATAGACCCCTTTCCAAACACACACACTGACTTGTGTAATATAAAAAGTCCTCACAGACTTTTCAGTAGGAAACTTGGTCTCCCTAAGTGACCAAGGAAGTGGAAAAGCATATTAGGAGTTCTGGTATGAGAGACACCAGTTGGGCATGATACTATGACATACTATTCACAGACATTTACACAGCCTTGCACATACTGGACATTTCCTCAGCTTTTAAAAGATTAATGAATGCCTTCTCTGTTTTATTTTAGGGGTACCAAAGGCCTTCCAATAATCCTCCATACCCACCAGCTAACAAGCCAGTGTTTCCTACTCCTCCACCACAGGTATGTTAGCATACTGGTCACGCTTACAGTGATATGAATTCCAAATCATGCACTAAAAAAACTACAAAAATGAACGACACATAGTGATGTATTGTAACGTGATAAATGTGACATAATGTGTTCCACTCTCCTCATTTGGCTGGAATCAATGAATTGTGTGATACAATGTATTGCTTATTATTGCATATTGAATTTTATCTCTGAGGAAGTCTATCTTGAGTGGAAGAAAGGCGTTAGATATCATGTATTTTATGTTTGTTGGTTTTATTACCTTTTATTACTTAAGGCTTTTATTGACTAAATAAATATTTTTCTACTGCTCCCTGACTCCGTCTGCTGAGATTCCTGCTGCAAAAAAAATTATTGATCCCAGTCAAAGGAGGAGAGTGGAACACCATAGCCCTTTTTAGGCTTTAAGACACTCTTTTATCTTCTGTCTTGTGAGTGCAACCATTATTTGCCACATTTATCACGTTACAATACATCACTATGTGTCGTTCATTTTTTTTATTTTAGTTACCAAGCTGTATCCCATATTTGCATATATCAAACTAACTGACACAATGACATACACTCATGTACATATACTAACTCACACAGTGACATACACTCCTGTACACATACTAACTCACACAGTGACATACATTCCTGTACACATACTAACTCACACAATGAGATACATTCCTGTACACATGCTAACTCACACAATGAGATACATTCCTGTACACATACTAACTCACACAGTGACATACACTCCTGTACACATACTAACTCACACAATGAGATACACTCCTGTACACATACTAACTCACACAGTGACATACACTCCTGTACACATACTAACTCACACAATGAGATACATTCCTATATGCATACTCACACAGTGGCGTATACTCCGGTGCCCATACTAACATAAACAATAACACAGACTCCTATGTAAACATACACAATGACATAAAACAATATTCCCAGACAGGTTTCCTATGGGATCACCCACAAGATCTTTTTATTTTTTTGCAGGGTTTGAAGCCCCAAATGAGAAATTAAAGGAAGCAAGTAACGATAAAGAGAGACTTCAACACGCTACTAGAATGCTGTTTTTTTTTTTTTAACCTAGATAGTGTGTGCGTGTGCGTTTGTGTATGAGTATGTATGCAGGTATATATGTATGTAATTATATGTTGATAGGATATGTATGCAGGTATATCGGTATGTAATTATATGTATGATATTATTTTCAATAAAAAAGTAAAAGACGCAAGGGTTTTAATCACTTAATACCAATTTTTACTGAATAGTAAACCAAATTGCACAATTTTGCCAAACATATTCATGCTGTATATAAAAATATATAAAATGGGCTAGAACTTATGGTCTTTTGGTAAAAGGTAGAAATCTTTATTGTGTTATTCCATAAAATTGACGTTTCAGCCCACATCCGGAGATTTCCTCAGGATCAACAAACAACAACATACTAGCCTGAAATGCTGTAATTTTTAGCCCATAAGTTATAAGAAAATTGAACTCACCGCAGGTGATGCCTGTTATTTGGTCGGCGTCTTCCCAGTGCGTGTGCGTAACGCAACCCGGAAGTGCTGTGCAAAACGTGACCCTGTTGCCATGGCAACTGTTCCATACAAAAGGTGCCCTGGAAACCTCTGTAAACAATACAAAATGCAGTGCATAGAATAGGATATCAAAGCGATAAATAGTTTCAAAGAACTGTATATCGAAGCAACAATTTATATAGTGTCCCATAAGAAGGATGTGAAAATTGTGTAATAAAGAAATCTGCGTTATCAGCCGTAAGGGCTGGACGACAGTCTATTAAAGTGCCAGTGATTATATGGGGCGGGGCGTACCTAGAGCATTTGGCACCCAGGGCGGACCCTGAGTGTGGCCCCCCCCCACCCTTATTAAAAATGTAAGAATTTTTTTTTCATTGTTTTCAATAATATTTATTGCACAAATTTGTAAACTGTATATCAACTTGAAAAAAATGGAACTATGAAAAATAAATTAACTCGGAAATAAATTAAATTTAAATAATTAACATTTACTTAACAGCTAATACGCTTTCTATAAACAAAAAAACTCGCAGATCCAAAGTGACAGAGGTAATTTGCAATAATTCACATCCGCTGCCTTCGAGCCTCCATTTCTGCAAATTTATCGATTACTTCATCAAAGCCAATCTTCCTTGCATATTCATGCTCAATTGAAAGTATAGCCAGATTTGTCAACCTTGTCTCACTCATGGTTGAGCGAAATACATTTTTTATCAATTTTAATTTGGAAAAACTTCTTTGACATGAAGCAATAGACACACAGAGAGTCAAAAATAATCTTAAACACAGTGACAAATTTGGCAGAGATTCACAATAATCCCGTTTAACAATGAACTCCAGGAACTGCAATGCCATCCATTTATTTGCTTCTTCAGCACTGATCTTGGCAGCTTCCACATGCCTCCGAAGACGTTCAATTTCCCTAAAGATGTCTTCATTGGAGAATTCGTTAAAAATCTCAATCAATTTTGGAGTATAATTTACGAATATCTTTCTCTGTTGCCACAACTAGAGAGTTTGGCTGAATAACAGCAAACATTAAAAAGATTTTTTCAATTGCCTGGGAACAAATGTCCAACTCGTGATGAAAACGATCAAGGCACTCAAACATAGCCCTTTTCATTTCCTCTGGCAATGTGAGACCAGCGTCCTTTGCCTTCCCTCCTGGCATTGTTTTACGGAGCTTTACTCTCCCTCTTCTTTCCATTGAAATGTCCATTTCTTTACACTTAGTTGCATAACAAATGGCCTTCTCCACAATTTCACTGTGCTGATCTGCTAGAAACGCTTTCAAACCTTGTAGTTTCACAATGCACTTTTCAAGAGTGAGTCCCACTGTTTGCAAATATTTCTGTGTGGTATTAACTTCTTCTAGAACTTCACACCAGAAAGAAAGGTAACACAAAAAAAAAAAATCACATACGGCAGACAGCAACATCTGAGCCGATCCTCTTGTGTCCACATTTTCTTTGGGATTACACAATTTTTCAAGGGTTGAAGTCAGTTTTTCAAAATTTACCCTCACTTGCTTCAAAGCACCATAATTAATGCTCCATCTTGTTTGGGAAAGTCTTTTCACTGTCACACTTAAATTCTCCATCACCAATTCCCAACGATGTGTAGAAACCGAAAAAAGTAATATACTCTCTCCAATGTTTCAAAAAAGGTCACACAGGAAGCAACACTTCCAAATGAGTGCACCCCACATAGGTTCAGGGAATGGTTTGCACATGGCATAAACAAAGCCTTGGGATTAATCTCTTTTATTTTTGCCTGAATACCACCATGAATCCCTGCCATAGTTGCAGCATTATCATATCCTTGACCACGGCAAAGGCTTATGTCTAGACCATCTTCCTCCAGATGTTGCAGGATAGTTTCTGTGAGCTCAGCAGCAGTCTTTTCAGCAACAGGAAAGAAGCCCAAGAATGATTCCTTTACGTCAACATGGTCCCCTTCAATATGAACATATCTGATCACTTCACACATCTGATCAGTGTGGGACACATCAGCGGTGCTGTCAAAAAGAATCCCAAAGTACTTTGCTTTCTTGATATCAGCCACTATTTTGTCCTTCACATGATTTCCCAAAAGACAAATTAATTTGTTCTGAATTTTTGGAGAGAAATAGGAAGTCATTCTCTTTCCAGATGCAACAGCATGTTTCAGCCTCATGAAACGTTCCTTTAAAATAGGATCATAGTTTGAGAGCAATTCTACCAATTCGAGGAAGTTGCCTTTGTTTGCGGATGACATGGTCTCTCTATGACCACGAAAGGGAAGATTCTGGTGAGCCAGAAACAAAGTTACATCCAAAAGGCGATGCAAAATATCCCTCCATTTCCTTTTCTCTCTGTCCACTGTTGTTTGATGGACATGATCAAGGCATTTTTGTAGCTTCAATCCTGCTCTCAAGGTCTTCCATTTCTCCAAGCATGTAAGATGACGGTCAGAAGCCTCATGATCAGACACCTTTGGGTTCAGCTTCCACCACAATTGAAACCCAGTAACAAAACTGGATGTCCCTGTTACTTTATCAACAGCAAAAAGTCTGCAGCAAAAACAAAACAAACTTTGTTTTGATGGAGAGTACACCATCCACGTTCTAAGATTTTTTTCACCATTAGGCAGAGCCTCATAGAACCATGCAGTGGTCAGTTGTCGACTCTTCCCTTTTGATTTCTCTCCTTGCCTTTCAACAGGACTGAATGGCCCATCTCTATTTTGGAAAGGTTCACTTCCCCTCTTAATAAGGTCCACTCTTAAAACATTTGGAACTGGAACTGGCCAAGCAGCAACATCAGAATAAACTGACAGTCGAACAGTCTCCTCTTCTTCTTCATCATCATCATCAGAGTTTTGCTGATGCAGGCTTCTCCTGGCATCTCCTTCATCTACATGACTTTCACTGCTTGAAGATAAAATGATCTTCTCCAATTCTTGCGCTTTCAAATATGAAGCTTCTTGAGAAGATACTTCAGGCATTTCACCTCTGGATTCAACAGACTGAACGTCTTCAGCACTTTCTTCTACTGCGGTAGATGTTGAAGGTGCAACATATTTTAAAATTAATCCAGACATTGCCTCAGCTGACTTTTCTCTTGCCTTCTTAATTTTTCGTTGCTGAGACCTGCTTGGTCGATTTTCTGCAGAAAAATCCTAAATTAATTTCGGCTCTAGGGTTCGCTAGTGCGATATCTGTCTTATATTTCCCATCTTGGCATACCATTTGTAAAAGTAGACAACCCAGGGTATTTAATGAAGTGGTCTGGGTGCCAGGTCCCCAAGATTTTAATCCTCCAGATGCAAAAATTTCATCCAGCTTTCAGAACGTCTCAATTTCTCAGTGCTTTCCTATGGACTGTTTGAATGCGCGCGCGGCTCTTGCCGCGCATGTGCGTTCGGCTCCACTCGGGAGCTGATGTCTCACTGTAAAACTCACTGTGAGAAGATGTTGGAAGTCCATAGGAAAGTATTGAGTAATGCTTTCCTATGGGCAGTTTGAATGTGCACGCGGCTCTTGCCGCGCATGCGCATTCGGATCTGACATCGGCAGGGGGAGAAGAGGTCACTAGGTCACAGAGGGAGCCCGGCGCTGGATTAAGGTAAGTGGCTGAAGGGGTTTTAACCCCTTAAAACCCATTCAGCATTTACCTTTCTCCATTACTCAATGCTTTCCTATGGACGTCCAGCCTCTTCTCACAGTGAGTTTTACAGTGAGAATTGCGGAAGCGCCTCTAGCGGCTGTCAGTGAGACAGCCACTAGAGGTTGAATTAACCCTCAGTGAAACAGAGCAGACCTAGACCTATAGGGACCTGGCACCCAGACCACTTCATTGAGCTGATCCGTTAAGGGGTTAAACACATTTCTAGGAAGAGAAACAACATAGGAAAGGGATTTAGGTTCAAAAGATGTAGCGGCTAGGGCAGAGGTTTTGTAGAAGGGGGCCAGGGCAGAGGTTTTGTATAAATGCGCCAGTTTTGTAGAAGGTGGAAAACCAGTGCTTTTGTAGAAAGGGGCTGGTGAGAAACTTCTAGAAAACTCCTGCCCTGCCCCTTTCTACAAAGCCTGTTGTCTCGCCCCTTCTAGAAAACCCCTACCTTTCGCCCTTCATATAAAAACCCTGCACACTGATCACATAAATTTCATACACTCCCTACACATAAAAACCCTGCACCCCAATCACATAAATTTCATACACTCCCTACACATAAAAACCCTGCACACCCCCTTAATTAAAAAAAACAAAAACACTGCACACCCCCTTAACAAAAAACAGAAACCTGCACAACCCCCCTTAATTAAAAAAAACCCTGCACACCCCCTTTAATAAAAAAACCATGCACAACCCCCTTAATAAAAAAAAACCTGCACACCCCCTTTAATAAAAAAACATGCACAACCCCATTAATAAAAAACCATGCACACCCCCTTAATAAAAAACAAAAACTTGCACAACCCCCCTTAATAGCAAAAACCCTGCACACCCCCTTAATAAAAAACAAAAATCTGCAGTGCACATCCTGCCTTAATAAATAAAATACTACAACCTCCTTAATTAAAAAAAAAACCTGCACCCCCATTAATTAAACCTACCCCCCTTAAATAAACCTCCCCGCGCTGCACCCCAATTTAATTAATCCACAACCCCCTTTAATTAATCCACCTCCATTTAATTAATCCCCACCCCCTTTAATTAATCCACCCCCTTAAATAATCCACCCCCTTTAATTAATCCACC